TGGTCGTATCTTGAAAAATTCGTAAGGAGGGGCGTTCATAACTAGAGGTACCACTGTATTTTAAGAGTTGTGTTAATTTTCAAACTGAATCATTTTTGAAGGATATACAGCCTTAGTAACTGGTGCTGAGAAATTCAGTCTCCTCTCAAGAAAAGTTCACCTTCAGCATCTGGGGTCTAAACAGAAAAGCATTGTGGCTTCCATTTTTGACACCTAGTTGAGCATTGGTTGCGATTGTCCTGAAAGGTGTTATGTTTGATGTAGTTTAATATGAAATAGTGCAATAGGATGCGTAGCTATTCAGACATTAGCCGCACTGAATTCAGTGGGCTTGACTTTCAGGTAACTGCAGCTTAAAAGATGCACTGTACCTACAAAAAAGCAATAAAGAAGGAGTAGGCAACCTGAGGCCCCCAGCTCCCTTTTGTGGCCCCAGAGCGCCTTTGCACCACAGCTGTCAAAAATTAGCAGTGCCATTTTGAGACAGGAAAAACTCCAAAACTGTCACTCATCTCTCAAAGAAATGTAATGTCTCTTTTTAAAGAGAACTCTCTCCCCCAATCCCAGGGAAAAAAGATGGAAAACCTTGACCTGACCTACTTTCCATCATTGTCCCATCCATTATGCTCCCTGGGGAATTCTGGGAGTTGAAGTCCACACATGTTCAAGTTGCCAAGGTTGAAACACACTGCCATAGAGGTTAGGGCAACCTGCAGATGTTAAAAGATTGCTCACACTCATAGGAAGATACAGGCCAAAGCCTGTAGCTGTAGAAAATATTACAGGCAATATTAAGCTAGCTAGCAATAACTAATGTTATGCCACCATTATGGACTATATGAAAGTTCACATGTTTCAATCCATGACAAATGCTGTATTTCACCAATCAGCTAGATTTGGAATAATAGCTTTTCCCAGACTGGTGCTCACCAGATGCTGCTGGGAGATTATGAAAATAGAAGTCCAACAATTTGAAGATGACCAGGGAATTCCGGAGTTGCACTCCTAAGGGACCAGCATAGACCTGCCGTCTTCTAGATGCTCTGGCTACAAGTGCCCCAAGCAATTGCCAACGGGCACTGACCACACTGAAAGGAATTGAAATCCAAAACCTTTCAGCAGTGGATGGCAGCCAGCTTCAGATTCAGTAGATCTGAATCTACTCTCTCCCTTCCTTTCCCAGAAAGAATTAGGTCCCTCAGATCCACATAGTAAATACCCTAAAACCAATTAAGAATTTGCCACACAAAGAAAACCCAAATTCTGATCAACATGAGCAGCCTGGGTTTGGAAATAGTGGATGATCTGCTATTTATTCCTCTTTCCCTAGTTAGCTCTGTTAGCTATCAAGTTGACAGGTTTATTGGGAGATAGTTGTTGTTTATAGATTAACTGAGATAAGATTCAACCATGTGTTTGTTTTCCTCGTGTTATGAATTATTTTGGGTTTTTTTCCTTTTTATTCCTTTCCTGTTTGTCCTTTCCTCCCTTTTTATTGTTCAAGTACTATCTTTCCCCATGTTCTATCTTTCACTATGTTTTTGTTTCTATCTTTTGATATATTATTGCCTTAGTACATTCTAAAAAAAGAATCTACATTTAGAATAATGTCATTTCAGGAAGAAAGGCTGCAGCTGACAGTTTCAGTTCCTTACTCAAATACTTTCTTTCTAAAAGGAGGCATCTAATAAAGGTGACAACATTCAGACAATGATTTCTCCACAGGAAGTCTGAAGATCTATAGTCCAGGAAGAGCTGGACTCCATGGTTTTTCTAATCAGGTAATGAGGTCTTATACCCTTGGAATGCAAAAGACTTAGTTAAAAGATAGAGCTACCAGTTGAGAGCTAGTTTGGTGTAGTGGTTAAGGCACTGGGGTAGAAACTGGGAGACCGGGAGTTCTCGTCCCACCTAGGCACAAAGCCAGCTGGGTGACCTTGGGCCAGTCATTTTCTCTCAGCCCTAGGAAGGAGGCAAGGGCAAACCACTTCTGAAAAACTTTGCCAAAAAACTGCAGGGACTTGCCCAGGCAATCTCCAAGAATCAGGCACAATTGAACAGAAAAAGAAAAAAAAAATCTACCACATGTTCTGAAAACATGCTTCAGGGTCACCTTCTTAACAATTTGCTTATCTGGATGTTCAGACCAAATTATATAGTGTATTTTGCTTACACGATGCAAAGAACTTCCTAATCTAATGGGAGACAATTAAAAATAATGAATTACTTTGCACCTCATGGAGATTTATTTTGTCCTTTTAGAGGCAAAATATGAGAAAATTGCCCCATAGAGAATTAGTGGTTTTGCAACAAATTTTGGCAGCCCAATCTGAGGACTTTTAGGAAGCTCTGCAAAGGGGGCTGGGAGTCTGTGATCTCTGGATTACTCCCCCAAATGATGCAAATTCCACTCGCTAATGAGAAACATTTCATTTGGGGAAGGGATTCCTTGTCCCACAGCAAGATTGCCTGATGCTATTACTTTGATTGCCCTCTAACTAGAAACTTTTAAAAACTCACAAGAAGGTTGTAAACTGGAAAAAAAGTGGCCTTCTTTCCAGTAGCAATGGATGCTGGGCTCTAGGATGGGCAAATACAATCTTTTGTGCTCTAAACATTTTCAGCTTTGTTTCCAGATTGGTTTGGAACTACTCCTGGGTTGGGTAGATAACTTAATATCAGGGCTGAAATTACTCTGCACTTGGTTGGAAGGAAAAAGAAAGCAAATATCTGTGTACCAGGTGAATCTGAATCTTACCACCAATGTAAATTAAATCTACAGGGCAGTTTTAAGGGTCCAGTCCTCCCATTATTTTATTAAATTTTTAAGAAACAACAAGCTAAAGCCCATTCCTTGAAAATGTTGCTATAGTCCAGCTCCCATGCCAATTTCTAAAACTTCTTTTGTCACTATTAATACAAATTGGAAGCCCATTATTATTATCAAATGCCCTGGAATCTCACTTTTCTAGATTTCAAAGTTGCTATCTTATACACCAAAGATCATCTTACTCTGTTTGAAAATAAACTGATTGGTGATTTACCTATTGCTCAGGGAGGATAGAATATCATCTGGATTATACCAGCCTGCTGTTTTTCTGATTTTTAAAAAAATATGAAATTGATGATACAATATTTATAATGATTATGTTTTATGATCTGTGTTTTGGTAATTGTATCCCTATACCTATTTTGAATATGAATTAACAATTACAGTTCTTTTAAATTAAAGCAAAAATAGCAAATAGGAGGAAATTATGCCTAGAAGGAACATCCTAAATTCAAACTGAAGCTCTGATATCCTGATGGAGAGACATGGCCTTGGAAACAAGTTTATTTGGTCTTTGAGTCCAAGAGGTATTTTTTTTCACATGTTCAAGAATACTCTATTCTATATCGTTGCTTTACGTGTTTCAGGACTAAGCCATGGCAATGAAAACCAGCTCCAGGACTGAAGGCCAGTGTTCCATGGCTAGAAAATGAGGCCTTCCCAGTAAGCATAATTTCTCCCATCCCAAATATAATTTATCCCTTGCATTAAGGAGATAAAGTATATTAGGATAAAAAGAAGTCCAGGCACTACTGAACCAGCTTGTGTTTTAGTGGACCCCTAAGAAGCGTGGGGAAAAGAGCTTTGTCCCCTGCTCCTCTTTTTCCCTTTCTCAATGGAGACCTTGGAAGAAGAACCAGTTCCCCAACAGTTTGTACTCAAAACAAGAGCAGGTCTACTCAGAGGAAACTCTCAAAAGGCCCATTGAGGTACTCAAAAGTAAAGCTTTGTCATCGGTTGTCCACTCAAGTGGAATACAGTTTCCAACGTCTGTGAAGAATGAGCTGTGGATGCAAATAGCTACCCAGTTAAACAGCAGAGAGGTGTGGGTTGACTAAGCCACGTCATGCTTAGATTAATGCAGTTATTTTGAGGGGAGGGGCAGATGCCACTGCCATTATCATTCCCCCTAAGGAAAAAAGGGCATTGTGGTAACTCCTGTTTGCATTCCATCTATTCATCAAACACTAAGTACAACGAGTTCCTTGGTCTCATTGTCCACTTATCAGCCTGGTCACTCTTGCACTCCATCTGCAGGCTGATGGCAATCCAACTCTCCCTTCAACTCCAGACTTCCTGGCAACTTAACCCCTGTCTTCCGATCCACACACCAACATTTCCCTCGCTGCCCATCCAATGCTGGGTGACACTGACGGAGAAAGATAAGAGAGTTAATTAATTCCCGGATTTTAAAAAATGATACAATCCTACTAAGAACCCATTCTTCTATCCCTCTGCTCCTCAGTAATTATTTTGGATACCGTAGCCTTGTGACATCGCCTTCATTTCACCCACAGCCAAGGCAGCATAATCTTCAGCTGTTCCGTCTTCTCCCGACACGATGTTAGCTGACAATACAATCTAGCATGCTTCATCAGTGATGTGGCTACTGGTGTGGTCAAGAAGGCAATCTGCCCAACTCCTATCGTTCATTTTAGCTGCTGCAAGCAATTTACCTGCGTAATGCCTAGCCAATGCTTTCAAAGAATTGGTTAGGTCTTCCATGGTTTCTTTATAAATATGGGTTCAGGGTTTTTTTAAAAAAACACTAGGATTGCATTTTAAGAAGCAGGAGAAGAGTGTTAGTACTGTGCTGCGCAGAAGATCAATTTAAACCAGCAAAAGAACCAGAGTTCTGCTAGCTGTGTGATGCTGATTCTGTCACCACCAGATGCAGTCCAGGTTTTCCACTGCTTCTGCTAACAAGGAGTTTTGCACGGCTGTATCTTTCACTATTTTTATTAAGGAGGGGAGGGGGCAGTGCTATTTTGCCTATTCAGTTCCAGATCCATGACCAGCCACAGGCTACTTCCAAGTGCTGCCAGCCACAAGGGCAAAACTTGCTACCAATGTTGCCATTCCCATGCAGCACAAGTTGAGAACTCACTTGTTACTGATAGCTCCCTCCCACTTCATCCCACACCCCACCTCCTTGCCTCTGACCTGTCAGCTGGAGTACTTCTGGACTGGGGTTTAGTCCTCTTTAGAAGAGTGCTAGAGCCATGTTCAGAAATAGCCGGACTGACAGGTCAAAGGTACAACATACCTCTAAATCTGTGATCTGTTCGCTGGGCAAATTGACAGATAATTCAACACACTGTTCCAAGTACCTGCCTCTGCTCACCCTATTCTGCCCTACCCCACATTAGAGAAAGTTGTGATGGTTGTTTTCCAGTTGGCAGGCAACACTTGGTGGAAGTGGAAAGGAAGCTAGGAGAATCCACCAATTGCTTTCCTTAATTTATCCCACATCAAAGCAGTAAAAAAACAGCACCCTTCACCAGCCTCATTACTCTGCTAGAATAGGGCTCAGCAAATTTTATACCAGCATATTTTTTGCTGGCTCAAGGATTGATGAATAGCACTTGAACATGGCTGTCTGGCCATGCCCTAATTGTACTTAGCCTAAGGATGGAAACATATTTGGCTTTTAACAGGTGAATTTCCATACTTCTATACTTCTCATAAAGGAGGCATCAGCAATTCTGTGTTTGTACCTTCTTCCTGCCAACTTAGTGAGGAAACCTATCTTGGGCTTCTGTAAGTGCCACGATCATGACAAACTTCATCCCACTTTACTCAAAAAGTAAAGCAGGGGGTGGGGGGCAATGGTGCCTTGGTAGTCGGTGTAGCAGTGCTTTCCTCTCTATTAATTTTATCTGGGCTACTGAAAAGATATCAAGTTAGCATTTGCCTTATAGAATCTGAAGCTCCAGAGCTGGGATGAAGGGAATGGAGAAATGGAGCCACAGGAACTCAAAAAAAAAAAAAATCAACTACACCACAGCTGAGCTGGAAATAAATCAGTTTGGTTCTTCAACATTACTGATACTATGGGAATACAGAGGTCCAGAGGTACTTTTAAACTGGCACTATGTCTAGTGTTTTATTTGGAACTGTGCTACCAGCCCCACACAAAGCAAAGGCAAATAGAATGGCAGATAATGCTGTGGGGAACCTACCAGGCTGATGGGTGGCCACCTCACCAGCCTCCTGATAAATCTGTGTTTTCTGATCAGCTATGCCTGTCATAACAGTCATTTTGTAAGGATGCCCAGAGCATATTTTCAGAATGTTCTCACTAAAATTGCCGTCTATCATATCAGAAAGATGCTAGGCTGGGAAAGGCTGAATGATACCATGCCAGTTCTCAGAGTCAGGACAGGTTATTTATTGGATATTGGGATGCCCTGCCCACCTTTTGAGGTATCAGGACAGTAAGCTGATTATTATATTATCACAGTTAGCAGCCAGAGGGACCTTCTGTCACCTCATAGGTTAAAGTTGGGGGAGAACAGAGAGTGGATGCTTTTTGCATCCAGGTTTCTCAATTTTGTTGATCCATTATTGGAGTTCTATAAGACAAATTGAACACACATGAGTTGTCTTAATGCACAGCTAATAATAGTTCTTAGCAGGTACTATGCATTTCTGAGTTGTAATAAATTAAAATGTGCTTGTAATCAAGGGAATTTGATTAACAAAAGTCACCCACACAAAATAAAAGGCTACCCATGACTTCCCATGCTTCAGGGTTACCTGCTTGGGATGGAAGTTTCCATTATGGTCACAGTTAGGGATGGGGATGATGTAGAGGTCCTCATGGGTTCGGGTTTGGGAAGCTGCTAGTCTCTCTAAGGCTCTCTGAAGCTCACTCTGACACAAGCCTTGAACCTATTGGCAAAACAGTAGGAGGAAGTACAGTCAGAACACAGGAACAAGAACTGTGAATGTGTGCAATGAAATTATCGCAGAGTAAGTTTGGACATCATGTTTAGCTGGGCTTACGGGTGAACTTTTTCACTCTCACCAGCTGGCCTCTCCCTGGCATGGAGGTGGCTAATGAGCCATCCATGGCTTGATTAGTCAAGCTTAGTGAAATATTCAGAAGGGGGACTTTGGATTCATTGAGGAATCCAGGGAATAAATAATTTGTTCCTAATTAGTTAATGGCTTGTTTTGTGTCTTCTTCTGAGCTAAAGAAAATTACCAGTTTGGTCATCATGCAAAATTTTATTAAAAGGGTCTGTGGATGACTTGTTAGCTGCACCCATAAGAACCAGCAAGCTCACTCTAAACCATAATACTGACTAAGTATACAAAAGGTCTCACATGGGGAAGAATGACCACAACTTCATAGCACTGGTCTGAATGGGACATAACACAATCTCATCTCCATTTCCTCCATGATACCGCACAGTAAAAGTGATGGAACAAGTTGCGTCTCAACAGTAAAAAAGTCCTGGTCTCTAACCAGGTTAAAGATAAGTTAGGCTGCAAATAAAAGATGAAAGTGATTGTTTTATTCAAGTGATTTTGATTTTGGCCAAAGCCCACATGGAGCTGAACCTACAAAACTTATGATCTTCTCAACTGAATGCAGACATTTAGGCTCTGTGTTTGAGGGACTTTTGCTGTCTTCCTAGAATCAACCATTGGGATTTCATCAAAATGGTAGCCAGAGTTTTTCTAATTTTTTTCTAATGTGGCCACTGGATGTTTTTTACTTGATTGAGTACCCATGTCATATGGCCTGATGAAAGCCAAATTGTACTGCTCTAGTGCAGCCTTCTCAAATCTGGTATCTTCTAAATGTCATGGGAATTCTAGAATTTGTAGTCCTAGATATCTGAAGACACCCAGATGAGAAATTTGTTATACTGAAAAAAATTGGAAAGCTAGGGTCTAGTTGATTTCATGAAGCTACATTTCAGTTTTCAAACTGCACCTGTTCAAAAGCCTCCTGAAATACCATTCAATAAAGTATGCTATTAAGACTAAGAGGAGTGTTAGACCTTTGTATATAGTCACTTCCTCTTTAAGATACTGAGATATATAGTGGAAGACTAAGACTCATTCCAGTTCAAGCAACCACTTTCTCTTTGCACTTTCTCGTTTGCCTTCTTATGCACACCCTATTTAGCAGCCTTTTCCCCTGTCTTCAGAACCACCATGTATTTAAAAATTACATATAATTGGGAACCCTCCATGAGTTCAGCTGGTTCACTGGACTAGTAGTAATCAACACTGGGGCAGGTTGGGAGTGGATTTTATAAAGTAGCAAGAAATAGAAACAGAAATACAAATATCGCTTGTTTTAAATGTTCTTAATCACATTCTTCTCCAACCCTCCAAATGCATCAGGCTAAAATTTCCAGAAATTCCATGGCTGTGCCGGCGGGGTAATTCTGGGACTTGTAAGTCCAACACATCTGGAAGGCATCTGGAATGTTGGGAACTGAACAGCAAACCTGAGCGACAAATGGGAAGAGCCTAATTCAATGAGATGTGGTTTCTGTTCCCATTCCTCTGAAGAAACACCAAAGCCCCTCACCACCAGCCGGGTGTCCTCCCGGAGAGCGAGGTTCCCGTGGCTCCTCATCTTGACACCGCTGTTCATCCGTTCCCGAGCTCTTGCTTGTTGTTTCTGCAAGCATTTACGGTCATGGCTGCTGCAGGGGTTGAAGTTGTTGGTGGGAGGGAGTTCAACCTCTGCCTGCTCTAAAGAGGAACAAAGTCAGAGGACATGACAAGGGTCAAAACAAGGTGGATTGATCTTGGGAGAGTGTTTTAAGAACATGCCCATCCCAATTGTTACCTGCTTTTCTGAAAAACCGGCTGCATAAAAGTTTCCTGCATGTGCTTTGTTCCTGTTCACAGGAGCAGAAGGGAGTTCTGGCAGTTCTAGCCTCAACCAGTTTGGAGGGGAGGCCTCCCAGATCAGAGCTGCCAAAATCAAAAGACCCACTAGATGACAGCAGTGTTTACTCTGTCTTTGTCTCCATCTGGTGGTCACCCAGAGTTTTGCAGCCCAGCTATGGTAGCCCTATTAGTTCTCGGTTTCTCCAAAGAGAGATGGCTGCGGTTGAAACCTTTTTGGAGTTCATAACCTGCAATCTAGAAACCTTGCCCAGTAAGCTCATGGTTATATCCATGGATGGATTCAACAGTAGTAGAAGTACTTTCTGTCCTGTATTGTTACACTGAGTTTCTATAGCAATTTACAGTTTCCAGAGACAAACAGTGTTGAAGTTTGCTCAAAAGTAAGTGCTGCTTGAATAATGAGGCAAAGGAATGCATGCTCAGAGGCTATTATGTTTTGATACTGTTGGCTGTCAGAGGAGTAGCTTGGATCCATATGGACATAATTAAGCTTGGCACAAATAAACTCTAGGACAGATATGTTTCCAGCAAACTGGACTACCAAAACAGTTCTTCTCCCCCCCCCCTCCTTAAATTCTGCTTTGTTTTGGCCAACGCACAAGCCATTGGGACTTTGTCTCCAGCTTTCTCTCCTAGTCCATTTTTCTCTTCAAAGTCTTGCCCAATTGGCTGCCTCTGAGTTTTCAAACTATGGCCATTTTCTCTTTTCAATTCTCCTTTTCCAAAAAGGCTGAACCCAAGTTTCCAAGAATTTTTGTACAACTTTGGCTCAACTTCTCATAAGCTGACAAACACTGGAGATGCGCTTGCATGCTTGCAAAACAAAGAGATAAGATGTTCTCCACCAGTGAGACTTCCCTCTTTATTTGCTTTACCCAAAAACTATGTTTTTCAGCATTTTCAATGTCAAAGCTGGAAGGGAGTTGGAGATCATCTAGTCCAACCTCTTGCCGAATCCAGGAAACCATTATTGCTGCATAGATAGATGCCAGCCTCTGTTTAACCAACTCCAGGGAAGAAGCTGGTTTAGATATGACAACTCCTTGTCAGATTCGGTACCCTCCTAAATCAAAAGTTCCTTTGTCTGTGGGGACAGCATTCATACTAGCCACTAACACACATCACACTACCATCATTTAGCATAACATGAACAAACTATAGTAAGCATCAGATTTTTACACACCTCTCTTGCCCAAGAAATTCTAGTTACACAGAATTGGGATTAAACATCCAATATACTAATAGTGGGGGCAGAGTCATACCACATGCTAAGGCACAATGTTGTTTAAACCCAGCCAATGTGATTTATAAACTCACTTTACTGCTTAAAACATTGTGTGAATCCAGTCAGGACAGATTATTCCCTAAACCATAATTAACCAAGTTGGGCTTAATGGGCTGAATGAATATGGCCAGTAAGGCTGTGCATAATGTTCCAAAGCATGCTTTGCAAATATGCCCCCTCCAGAACAAATGTGCTTGATGACGCATCTTTTTTCAACAGTTTGCAGAGCTTTAACCAACAGAGGGAAGCCTAGAGCTACAGGAAAGCCAGGGGTTGTTTGCATCTTTGCCGCCTATATACAATAGCCCAGGTGAACAGCAGCAGTTTACAGGAATTGCCTTTTCTGAAGTTCCAGTAGAAAGGCTCGTAAAGGCAAGGCCAGCACTGTCTGGCTTATTTCCCCTTTTACGTTACTAAGCTGCATCAGCCTCCAGCAAAAGTCTATTTTGCTGATCCTTCTCAACTGCACATCTGACTTTCAGTTTGATCTATACCTCCAGCTTTAGCCCAGGTGGCCTGCCAAGGGAAGAACCTCTCGCTGAGATTAGGCAGGAAGTAAGAAAAAGAAAAACCACTCTCCTCTCCCTTCCTTCCTTCCTATACTACCTGAACGTAGGCCACCATTGTTACCTCTTTTAAAGCGAATAAGAAGAGGGCCTTGCGTGGTGCTCAGTTCCCACTAGGAATCTCTCTGTCTGCAGTGCCATATTTTAACTAAGAGGATTTCCAGCACTCTGGCCAATTTCAGGCTATTCCCTGCCAGTGAAAAGCCAGATGATATTCTAAGCAGGAGATGAAGTACTTAGAATACAGTCTTTTGAGTACTATAACAGAGCATTATTGTCAAGCCTTATGTCAAGAAACAAAAGCCAAATCTGCAGAAATAATTTAGAAGAGGAATATTGGTATCTAGCTGACCTTGGCTGATCTCAAAAAGTTAAGGGTTTGGGGGCCTAATTAATATTTGGATGAGAGACCACCAGGAAATGCAAGGGCTGTACATTCCGTGCCAACTAAGAAGTTGAAAGAACATCCCAGGGGTGGAAAGTCCATTTTTGCTTGCTCTTCTTTCTAAGTCATTGCTTTTCCTCCTCATCAACTAACTTAGGGTGGAAAAGGAAATTTATCCCAGACTTTAATGAATGCAGTACAACCTCTTTGAGTATCTTTTGCACCATGGCAAGTCCGCATGGATCGCTTTCATATGCTGATGAAATAGATCCCCCTTCCAGGAAAAAAGGCATCATTGTGTACAGATTGAGTACTGATTATGAAATAGCACAAAAAAAAACCCCTCAGCAAGCAATTCTAGATTCATAGTTATCAATCTGGCCATGAAAAATAGTAAATCCTCATGTCACACGAATTGTCTATTTGGTTTTTAGCTCTAAACCCATGGATACATGCAGAAATAGAAATTGTCCCAGCTTCCTCTTATCCTATATGTCTTAATGTACCTACTGGCTTAGAAACAGCTAGATTCAACTCCTGCTAGTACTTATCAGCCCAATGTCTTCTGTTGGTGAACAGAAAGAAAGTATACAGTCTACCTGTTGGATAAAGGATTGTAGCCCTTAGAGCAAAAATCTTTCCCTAATTCTGCCATAACTAATAGCCTGATTTACACAACACAACATGGATGCAATATTCCTGCTATAGATACTTAAAAGGGCAGGGGGGATATTTTTATTTTAATACCTTTAAAAAAAGCAGCGGTGCAATATTTTTATTTTAATACTTTTAAAGTTTCCTAGTGGAAGGGAGCAAGTAGGAAGAGTTCCACTTGCATTTGGAAGTGTAAAATACAGTGTTTGTTAGAAAATGATCTTGCTTTAACAGTCCAAAAGAAGGAGAAAAAGGACAAAGAATGAATATACGGCTTCGAAATAAAACTATTCAAAATCAGCACAGCTTGAGGAATTGTTATTATTACTGTTATTATTATACAGTCGAACAACCAATTCAATTATCAGATCAAATTGTAACTAAAACCATTCAGAAGAGAAACTTATACTATATTTGGAATCAAGGAAAGATGCAGCACGTTAACAATCAGGCCATGCTTAAGTAAGAGAACTTTCTAAAAAATATATTTGAATTTTTCAGGAATACACCTGTTTTCTTCCTGGGCTGTTTGGATAAGTGAGATATACTTACCCACACTATTCCAAAAGCATAGCATTTTCCCACTTCCTCTTTCCTCAAATCTGACAAGTGAACCTATATCATTATTACATCCCATAATTTACCCAACTGCTGTGTTCAAGTGAGAAGATAACCATTTCCCCTGACAATCTAAAGAGACAACAAAAGTTTGAAAAACGTTGTATATGGGAGATATGGAGATCCAAGCTAGGTCCCAATCTATCACGTAGGATGCCAGTCAATTTCTCTGATGGACTGTGTAGAATCACTTCGGTTGTTTATAAAATCTATTCCATATTGGTCTCAATCCTTCAATGAAATCTTTACTACAGTCATAGACCAGCATAAGGAGGGTGGGGTACAGTCAATTAAAAAGCATGGAAGATACATAAAAATTATGAAAAGCTAGAAGATATAAAAGTATATTAAAACAGAAAGTATATATAAAAAACAAGAGTCTAAAAGAATCCAAAAGGTGGGGTAGGAGCATTAGATGGGTGTAGGGGAGCATAGAGATCAGTATGGTGGAAGACTATATCTATCACATTACAGAGCACTCTAGTATGGGGAACTAGATGGTCATTAAGACTAGTTTATGTTTTTTTTCCCTTTCGCAGTTCTTCTATTTCTCATACTTTTACTGTAATCTTTTTTCTTTCGTCTTTTAATTTGTATATTATGAAAAATAAAAATAATTGAATCAAAGACTAGTTCATGGCACAGGTCATCATCTGATGAATTTTAAGAGCTGCTGTGCAGAACCTGGCAACATTATATGTTGTGGCAGGGTTGGTATCTGAAAGCAGCAGGTAGGTGTAGAGTTGTCCTGTGCACCCTGGGTGTTGATGCAGTAATGGCGAGATGAGGCTAGTATGAATGCCTCTGTAATACAGGCACACACTCTGTTGTTTCTGTGTGTCCAGAGTCACAGGGGCCTTGTCTCTCCGGGTAAGGAATCTTCCTGTATCGGCCTTCAAGGACAGCTGAGGGGTGGGCATGGCATCATGCCAGAGTAAAGCTCCCATGGGAAGGCAGAGTACCTGTTGGATTCACTGGCAATAAAGGGTGGGGTCCTGGCTCGATCCAACTGGCGCTCTGTGTCTGCTACATGCTGTTTAATAAGTGCTTTGGCCTGATCACATCCCATGCTGAGTGGAAGACCTGGAGAGAAGCCCAAGCATGAGATCTTAGTTGCCACTGCCTGTTTCCATGTGGCTTGAAAATCATCACTCAGAGTTAATGGGGGAGGCCAAGGGATAAAAAGGATAGTCTGAGCCAATAGTTGAGTATGATCACCCACACTCTAGCCTCTAGTCGCAGGGTAGCATTAGAGACACGTTTTGGGACTTGAAGAGCTGAAATTGGATTGGTCAAGTTCTAATGGTGCAAAATTGGAGAAGAGGCCCAC